GAATTCAGACTACAGGTCTTCAGACTACAGGTCTCTGATAGGCAAGGAACCACAGTCAAATACAAATTAACCGAGTCAGTAAAACGGACGTGCACACAATATTTAGGAACATAACGCGCTTTTAATCACTAAATCATGCAGGACTTCATTATCTTCTTCCTCTATCTATAGGAATAATGTTTGTTGCCTCACCTCTCAGGCAGATGCACCCAAAATAGGGCTCGAAAACCACGCGGGGGTGATTTAGTGTAAGTAAGTAAAGGACCCTTTTCCACGTCTTTCATGCGTATTGGGTATATAGGGCTAGACCTATATTACAGACCAACCGAACAATACGGGTGATGTGGTCAGTATCATGCAGGCCGCCTTTACTTCCCAGGACTGCCCCTGGTACCAGCTCAAGGCTGGGTCAACCTGAAAGCCAAGGTCGTTTGTGAAAAAAAAGTCCGGCCCCCGCCAGGGAGTGATCCTACGACCTTCAGATTCGCAGGCGAGCGTCCAGCCGCTACGCCACGGCGACTCCCTGATGATTAACTGTAGTGGAAATAAAATTGGACACTAGAGAAACCCAGGCAAGTTGCATTGGTTGTGCAGATCTGGTAGCTAGACAAGGCAAACTCTTGCTCCCTGTAATTTTCAGTCTGGCGTGTTCCCTGTCTGGTCTCATTCTGCCTCGTGTTCGATATAAAACAACTCAGCTATGGTGTAATTCTATCTGCTGGCCTGTAGGTGTCCATCGATCCATGTCTGACAATATGTTCATGTCTGTCTGTGTTTGCATGTCAGGGATTTCTGTCTGTGCCCCCCCCCCCCCCACCCCTGTTCCGAGCAAAATGAACCAAATGTGAACAGTGTCTTCTTAACATTTTATCGACTGTTTAATCAGGCTGAAAGTTCTGGTTGTTCGTCCGTTTCTGACGTTAGTCTTGTTCCAGAGCTTGAGTTTGGAGTGCACAACCGTTATGCAGATTTGGCTTACTGACATGCAGACTGTTGGTTCCATCAAATAGATGAGTTCTTACTTTAAGGGAAAAACCCTTATTAATAGCTTTTACCACAAGCTTTTTATAGGACAATGAATTTATCCCTCCCCCACCTCCAACAAATAGGATCACGAAACCCTCTCTAACAAATGTGGCCAGTGTGATAGTGACCATATCACTCACTGCTCAAGAGCCGGATGCAGGGTTGCCAGATACAAAACGTCATTTTATGCCAATCTATTACCCAAAATATACCAGAAAATGCCAAATAAAGTGTAACATTGTATTCACTTCACATCAAAAGCTCTAGATTGAATTCTTCACTGTCATCCTCACTGGACAAGTGGACGATACAGCGTAAACCTTTTCGGATGTAAAATCTTTAAGCATTTTCTCAGATGTGGTGAAGTCTTTGCAACTCATCTATAATGATGGCATATTTCTTGTTTCGAAAATTATCAATAAGGTCATCCTTAAGTGCAGGCGATATAATATTTTTTTTAGGCATGAACATTTCGTTATATGCAACTGTATGTGCTCCAGTGTATTCCCCAGACCAAGCGCTTTCATGATTTCACTTAGATGATCAATTGTGCGCAATGGCAGGTCATGCCTACAGCAAGTTGCAACTCTGCTGCTTTAACTTTATCATTACTTAGCCCAGCTAGATGTTATTGTTGTATTGAGCTGTGACTGGCTTTTTCACGGAGTTTTCATCCTGTGTTTTTCGGATTTTTCATGATTTGAAATGCTACTAATTCTTGGTGCAACAGTGCACTGACACAGTTAGCAATTTGCTGCCTCTGATCCGTCTGAAGAATTTTTGAGCCTTGGGTATGTTTTCTTCCAGTTGCTATTATACTTGCGATGTTATAAGATGCCTTTTTTTTTAAGGGATGACATGGCCATTGTTAAAAGTAATAAAATCGATGGCAGATAGAACTAGATCCATATCCTCTCTATTTTCTGTCCTCAAGTAGTTTCAGAACAGTCTGAATCACTTAGTATCAGTGGTGGGCTTTGGTTTTATATCCCGCATTTATTCTACTAGTTTAACATAAATTACAGAGGGCCTTGGTTTATCGAAGTCACGATCCGTTTAGGAAGACAACAAATACAATAAGAAATGGCGCGAATCTCCGTTAGTCCGTATCAGGACATCACAAGAAAGTCAAACTGAAATAAAGATGTTAACTGTAGGTCTACATTGCTTTAAGTAAATCTGCGTGTTTTTTAACGGAGGAACAATGAAGAAAATGTGAGCACATCTTGATGAGAAAAGCCAGGAAAAACCCAAATATGCCCAAAATGCCAGTTCATTATCTTATGCCAGTTCAATTTCAAATATGCCAATTTTGTGGAATCTGAAATCAAAAATGCCAAAATGGCAACCCTGCTACAAAACACACGGCCGCAGCACATTATACAGGTTCCAGTAGACCTTCAAGATGTGAAGAAAAGACGCTGGTTTTGGATGTCACACACGCTGAGAAAACCTGAGAACAATATAAATGGAATGTCTTTGCAGTGCAACCCACAGGGACATGGGAACACAAACACACACACACACACACACACACACACACACAACACACACACACGGAGAAAGGTACTAGACAGTGAAGCTAAAAAGACGGGGAGGACATGGAGTGAGCTGCATGCAATAGCGAATGATAATACGATTTGACGTGAGCTTGTTGAGGGCCTATGCTCCATCGGGAATAGAGGGAAGACGAAGAAGAGATACTAAAAAAAAAAAATAAACCCAGTAAACTATTGACATATTCCTGTACTTACTTTTTAAAAATGTTACTATGTGGTAGGTTTTATTTTTCACGAAGAAGCAGAAAGGGCAGAGGTGGAGGAGCAGGAGGAGAGGTTGGGGGGGGGGGGGGGAATTTGCGAGAACAAAATAAACAATGAAAGTGCACAGCACCACTTAAAATGTTCTCATAAGTACACAGTCCGAAACAACCAGCCCAGAGTTGCAATATCATTGGCTTCATGTGTGAATGTCTTTTCTCTAAAAGTTGAATATTTGTCAGATCTTACCATAGCCCATCGCATCACTCTCCTTAAACCCAAGTCTTGTCTGTGTGATCAATATTCAACACTGTAGCGTGCTCTACAGAGTAAACAGGGCTGAAGATTAAAGGTTAAAGAGAGGATCGACTTCAATGATGCACCGGGTTTTATCGCATGTGGTTCGTTCTCTCTCCGCAGAACAGCTAACCATCTGCCGAAAGCGTTGCACAGAGCACTAACTCCGCAGCTCCAGTCCCGGTCCCTAGTGATCTACGGAAAAATTGCACTCCTGGACTAAACCCCGTGAAACGAACCCATGACCTTAAAAGCTCGAAGCTAATGGCTTGACCATTTCGCAACAGAGACCCAAAAGTGAATAGGGCAATGAGAATGATGTTCTTGCTTGCATATGACTAGGTTATGTCTGGCTCCTGCAGTCGTTACTGGTGCCCGACTTCTCTGGAGGCTGAACTGGGAATCTGGGATCTGCTTTGTTGGTCTGCTGTGGAGATTTAGATTTGATCTTGGGGTGGTGGGGTAAACCTTCAGATAACAACTGGGGATGCACACACTAGTAGATCGATTGATGAGGAGAAAGCAAAGTAGATTTACTGCAGAAGAAGCAGAAGAGGTGAGGAGTAGTAAAATGCACTGCAGGGGAAGCAGAAGAAGGGGCGAGGTAGTAAAATGCACTGTAGAAGAGGCAGAAGAAATGAATGAGTTGTGCGATGCACTTCAGAAGAATCAGAAAAGGGAAAGAAGTAGTATGTTGCACTACAGAAGAAGAAGAAGGTGGGGGGGGGGGGGGGTGTTCGATGCACTGCAGAAGAAGCGGAAGAGGGGTAAGAAGTAGTATGTTGCACTACAAAAGAGAAAGAAGAGGGTGGGTGGGGGGGGGGGGGTAGTACGATGCACTGTAGAAGAGAGGTAGGAAGTAGTATGTTGCACTACAAAAGAGAAATAAGAGGGTGGGGGGGGGGGGAGGTAGTACGATGCACTGTAGAAGAGGGGTAGGAAATAGTATGCTGCACTACAAAAGAGAAAGAAGAGGGTGGGTGGGAGGGGGGGGGGGTAGTACGATGCACTGTAGAAGAGGGGTAGGAAGTAGTATGTTGCACTACAAAAGAGAAAGAAGAGGGTGGGTGGGGGGGGGGTAGTACGATGCACTGTAGAAGAGGGGTAGGAAGTAGTATGTTGCACTACAAAAGAAGAAGAAGAAGAGGGTAGGGGGGGAGAGGGGGGGGGGGGTTGTATGTTGCACTGCAGAAGAGGGAGGACGATAAAGTTCCGTGCCAATGTTTAAATGTAAATTAAATAAAGTGTTTAAAAAAAATGTATATTACTTTAGATGTAATATTATATTTATTTACCATTTAACACATTATTATTAATAGTATTATTATCATTACTAAAATGAGCAGGCTCCTAGACAAGGCTTAGTAACCTATTGAGGGCCCTTCCCTTTTTACTAGAGCCTCAACAGACAATGTTTTCTCCGAGTCGGCTGACTGTTCTTTAGTTACCCTGTGCATCTCATATTAAAAATGAAAAACTAATGTACCCTAGTTTATGATTAAAAAAGCGCTAGCTCAGTTGGTTAAACCAACTGCACGGCAACGGGATGACAAACTATTGGTCCGAGTTCACGCTCAGGGGTAGGCAGAAAAGCCACACATTTCCCAGATGTACGGTATCTATCAGGAAATCAAGGCCGAAGGGTTTCGGTATTCAGAATACCGAGCCAAAGGGTTTACAACGCATAGTTTCTGCACACACACGCACGCACGCATACACACACGCACGCACGCACACACATACCACACATACACACACACACACACACCACACACATATACACACACACACACTCTCACACACACACACACACACGCACGCACGCACGCACGCCACACACACACACACACACACATAACAATAGAATTGTGTTACCCACAGAAATTATCTATAATCACATCTTCTGTCCTCTCCCAGGCACGGTCATTTGTCCAGCAACAGATTGTTTTGTCCACTGGCGGGACGCTGCTAGCCACTGCGAGTGGGGACTGAACTTCTCCACCTCTACAGACGCCCAGAAGTTCAGGGATTGTTGTTCGGTAGGTTTGTTGCATATTTGTTTTTGTTGTTGATAGTACTGCAGTTATTTCAGCTGTTGTTTTTACCAGTGAAGATCTAAGAACAATGGTCGGTACAGTACGTGGGAATGATTCCATATGCCATCGAAGAATTGAATAGTTTAGTCATCTTGTCAGAGTGGAACAAAATCTCGCAGCAGCTAAAATGTAGTGCATACTAACAGCAGGCAACATGGCAAGAGGCCAACCAAAGAAGTGATGGGTGGAAAGTGTAAACAAGATACTACAGAAACTAGCAAAAGACAGGAAACTCTTCTCTGCAACGCTTCACAGCATCAGCTGTAGGGCCCAAAAAAAAGGAAAAAAAAAAGGGGGGGGGGTGGGGGGGGGATTGTTCTCCTTCGTTTTTTTCTTCTTCCTTTCCTTCTTTTCCTCCAATAATACTTCAGCTAAATGTTCAAGATGTGAGGCTGGAAAGATAGACGAGATGCAGTGATCCTCTCTCTTCTCTTTACAGTGTGATGGCTAAGGTGGTCTTCATTGTTCTAAAGTTGCTCGCAATAGCGTCCGTCGTTCTATATTTATTTTTTTTTAAAAATGATTTTCCCCATTGCTCCGTGTTGATTAAATTTTTTTCTTTTCAGTGATATCTGCAATTTCTAGTCTGATGGCCAAAACCATTTAATCTGCTCTTCTTTTGCACATTGTGAAACTGGTTTTAGTTTCAGTCTCCTATAGATTTTTCTATATTTAATTGTATTTCCTCTTGCTACTCCATTAATTCTTTTAACATGTCATATCTCAGTTCTGACTTAGCTCATTTTTTTTTTTTTGTGTAGAAAGAGCTGATGAGTGACACTGCAAAAAAAAGTTAGCTGTGTATCTTTTACATGACGTCAAAAAACCGAATTTCAATGTCTGTTTGTGATCTTACTAGACAATTTTACGTCCATTATTTTTTTTTTCTTAACGATCGCTTTCGATACCTTTGTCGCAATGAAGAGAAGCGGTCTGCTGCCAAATCGCACGCAGTTGAAATCGAAATAGGTATTTCGAATTAGAAAAAGTCATTCGCGAACGCCTAAGCTGATTGCTTCTTTGTTTTGTCTTGTATCTTCTATACGAAAGTGAATCATGGACAGTTGGACGATTAGTAAACTTTACTTTGAAGCAGAGGAGATTTTGTTTTATAGATGAATAATGAGAATCCCATGTAGAGATAGAAGGGGTAACGAGGATAAATTGAAAGAAACTGTTTCATTAAGAGAACTGATTGCCCACATCAGAAAGAGGCACAATTCTTTGGTCATGTCATAAGAAGGAGACAACTGGAGTACATCGTGACGGCGGGTAAGTTGGAGGGAAAAGGTGGCAGACGGAGACAGAGTGAGAAGAAGAAGAAGAAGAAGCCATTTGCTTTGTCTTGTCTTGATTTTGATTTTTCCTTATGCTAATAATGTCGTTTCTTGGGTCTGGTAACAATCACGTTTCATGTACCAATACAAATATTGCTACTAAATGACCCAGTGACTTCGTTTAAGTATCTACTATCAAAGATAATTATCTGAAATCCGAGCAGTATTAACACACACACACACACACACACAAACACGCGAGCACACACACGCATGCACGCACCACACACACACACACACACACACACAACTTTGGGACGTCCACAAAAACATACACAATTAAGCACAAAAACAACATTTTAACAAAATTAACATCACAGAAAAACCCTCTCGGCCAAAGAAGATACTGAAGAAATTAGAGGGAAAAAATCCTACCGAAGAGATGATGTTATTACAGAAAAATAAGGAAACATCAAGAAAAGAAAATCATGAACAAATAGATGGCGTAAAATCAGAGAATATCAAGCATGAAGAGAAGTTGTAATTGACAGCATAAAGAAAAACGTTCTCTACTTGAGCATAAAAAAGGAATGCAAACGACCTGTTTCGATTTTTTTCATGAGTGCATGCATTAAGATCCGCGTTGAAGCTCAAAGGAAATTAGTTTCAAAGAGCGGAAATTGTAGATACGGCTAAGAATTGGTTCGCCAGACGGTCTACATGTTTCGCCCTGCGTTACACCGCCCCCCCCCTCCCTTTTTAAAAAAAAAACAAAACTTCAAATCTGATTTAAAACTCTACATTTAATTACCTAAGTTAGTTTTACTTACTTCTTTAAATTCAGTAATCTGCTATTGGTTCCCAACGGTGCGACGCTCATACTGCGTACACACTCGCTAAGCCACGACGCAAATCCCTGTTGTGGGCCTGGGTTGCTGAAACCTTGGGTGATTCGGCCTCTCGAGCCTGTATCCCAGAAACGTTCTTTCCAGTAACGTTGATATCAGCGAAAGATACTAATGAAGACCACGTAACCACTCGGAAAAAAAATATACACGCTAGATGTAATAAGTTGGGCGGCAAAAGCAAAGGACGATATTTCAAACACATCACTTGAATGGTTGCGGAAAATTCTTTAGCACCACGAAAGTGACTATTTCAAACTTGAACCCATGTGTGAAACCGAAGTGGAAGATGGAAAAGGTTAACCTGTTTAATGCTGGAAAATATACTGGGCTGTGAATACATAGAAGCAAATGACATTACAGAATGGACAGCAAACGGCGAACGTGAAGAAATAACTGACAACAATATTGTGGTGCAGAGGTCGACCACGCAGATCAGGACCGCATAAATCAGAGACACTAAAAAGTACTTTACATGAAGCGCACAGAAAAACCCGTTCACCCGTTCCAGAGATCTCTTCCTGTCCTTACACCGCGAGGCATTCCAGGAGAAGAGAAAAGAAGAAGAAAAAAAAAGATATTGCGAAAATGGTGATACAAGGTGAAGAAAGAAGGTGAGGAGGATGCATCCTTAGATGATAAGAAAAATCTCATCCTTTGTTCAGAATGGTTCAAGACGACTGATTTAGGCAGGGCTGCAGTGCATTAGTGAGCAGGAAGAAGCGATGTCAACTGATATCTTGCTTGAGTAAGTGGAGGGAGATTGCGTCGCGGAAGAGGTAGTCATCATCTGTATGGACTTCACTGTCTTTTTTACTCTTTTATCTTTGGTCTACGTTTTCCCCATTCGTGTCATCAATTATCATTGAGAGTTTAAAAAAAAAGTTTAAATAATTTTTGCAAGCATTGAGCCAACCTTTCACGCTGATGTTTTCTTAATTTTAAATATGTATATTTAAAGTATGTGTATATTTTTAAAATATGTATATATTTATACTGTACGGTGATTATGATTTAATGTTTCCTGACACGAGCTAATTTATTGCTGGTAGAAAAATAAAGAGATCTTGCGAACCGTCTAGAATAAGGTATAGTCCTAGATACGAAGCGAACACAAGAACCCGTTCCAGTGATCTCTTAAATGTCTTGACGCTGCAGGGCACTCCATGAGTAGATAAAAGAAGAAAAGATAATGTTTTATGCAACAAAGTTAGACACCACACGGTTTATCTTTTAAATTTGTACAGTATTTTTTGTTAACCTTGCTTTTCTGTGATAAATTATCAAAGCCTACAGCAGAGTACAAAAGAAACAATTATACAATAACAGTAGAGGAGTGAGATTAGTATTACAGTTGTGTTTTTAATGGTAGGAGTGGAGCAGAAAGTGAGTAGTTACAAAACTCTGGCATATCCGGCAGATATTATGTCGTCTGGCCTGACATTTCGTCCCAATAAAGCTGAATAGTCTGCATAGTTTTAGATAATTCTATTGAGAAAACGAGATATTATAACGAATAACAGAATAACATTTTGTGACGAGTTAGACAGGGCTGTGGATCAATGCAAAAATTGTGAAGTAACAATGGTACTTGGAGATTTCAACGCAAGAATAGGAAGTGAAACAGTGTAGGGAATCACAGGTGGCTAGGGCCTAGAAGGGAAGTGAGTCAGCTAGACGCTCGCCGCGGATTGGAGGGTCGTGGGTTCGCTCACTGGAGGAGCCGGACTTTTTCACAAAATGATATTGCCTTCCAGGTCGATCCAGCCTTAAGTGGGTACCGGGTGCAGTCCCGGGAAATAAAGGCGGCCTGCGTGATGCTGACCACATTACCCATCTTGTGCCGATTGGGCTATTAAAAATATAGGTCTAGCCCTGATTGCTCTATACGCCTAACGGCGTGGAAAGGGTAATTTACTTTTTTAATGGCCTAGGAGAAAAAAATGTGAGAGGTGACAGATTAATAGCATGGGCTGAGTCGCACAGCATGATAATAGGTAACACCTGGTCTAAACACCATCCTTGAAGATTGTGGACTTGGAAAAGTCCTGGCGATAATGTCCGCAATCTGGTTAATTAAATTATGATTTCAAGAAAATTCCGGAGCAGCTTAGTTGGAGCACAAACTAGACCAGGTGCAGACTGCTTTAGTGACCATGTTCCAGTTGTAGGGAAAAAAAAGAATAATACTAAAGACTATTAAGAAGACACCACAGAACATCAAGTTAAATTTAGGAATTCTCAGAACGGATGAAGAAATTAAGGAACAATACAATGTCACTGTACAAAACCGGTATAATGCACTGGAAATTATACAGACTATTGATGAACAGTGGGATATGTTGCGTGAATCAATTCAGCAGACATAAAAAAAAAAAATCCCACCAACCCATAGCGTTGCAAAAGAAAAAAAAATGGATGTCAACCGAAATTTTGCAGTTGATAGATGAAAGAAGGAAGAAAAAGAATGGTAAAGAAGAATACTCTAGAATACAAAAAGAAAAAGTGAATAAATACAAAGTGGCTAAAGAAGCCTGGCTGAATCAAATGTGTACAGAGGTTGGGGAAAATCACAGGAAAGACTCGCATTTCATGTACCAACAGATAAATATGTTAACAAGAAAGATGACACGTAACAGCACTGGATGTTTAAAATCAAACGATAGTGACTCATTAATGGAACATAGTAATATAATTAACACATGGACAGAGTATATAGGGGAATTGTATGATGATAATAGACCAGATGTAGAACTGCAGA